GCACGCTCCGAAACCGGAGTGAGGGCTGGAATTCACGTGGTATTAGACTAGTATACAGTTGAATTATGTAGACCGCTCTGAAATCAGAGTGAAAGGGTTTATTTGCTCTCCATTAGTGTAGTGTCAAATTCTGACCATGTAGCTTATAGTTAGTAGCTATTATGTAGGTTTCTACGGGAGGGGGTTGGTTTTTAGCCCGTCTCGTAGGCAGACCAGTGTACTTTAAAAGTTTGGAGTTCAGTAGATAGGTTTGGGCTATTTAATGTAGCCAGTTTTGTTCTAAAAGCAGCAGTATCTGTGGGGGGCGCACTGGACCCCAGTTTATTTCACGTTGTCAGGTTTTGTTGTTTTGCTGCTTAGTTTATTTTTTTTGTCGCTAATTTACATTTTTGTTAAGATTTTCTGCTGGCTTTTTACACCTTGGTTGACCGATTTTTACTGATGTTAAATTGTTTATTTTTGTTTATACTTTGTTATTGCTCCGGCACTATTCGCTGATATTCCATTGACAATTAAATAGCGGAACTTGAATCTTGGCGTTGTTGTGGGTCTTTCCTAACACTTCGACTAATCAGGAGAAAAGAACCGGAAGGTGTGCTTGGGAGTTGACTGTTGGCCACTGTTTAGTAACTCGATTTTGGCCTTGTACATTTGTACACTTTAAAAACACACAACGCGAAGTCATTTGTGTGGCAAACTCATCTCCTGAGCCCGCCTACTACAATAGGAACTAATGCCGAGGAAACTTCTAACTTCTTTGATGCACTTTAGTGTAGGCCAATCCCGGACTGCTGAAACCTTCTCAGGATCTGTCTCATAACCCTGACCAGAAATCAGATGACCTAGAAAGCTAACTTTCCGTCGAAAGATACAACTTTTTGGGACTTAGCTTAAGACCGGCAGAACGTACGCGATTCAACACCTGTGTGATATGATCTAGTCCTTGTTCGAAGGTCTTGGCAAAGACTACATCATCCAAGCACACTAGACAAAGCTTCCAAGTTAAACCTGTAAGGAATTGCTTCATCAAACGCTCGAATGTCCAGAGTATCATCGATGCGGGGCAATGGATGACTGTCCTTAATAACTGATGTCATTCAGCTTACGGTAGTCAATACAAAACCATGTTGAACCATCTTTCTTTTTCAATAAAATAATGGGTGATGCCCACGGACCATTTGAGTTCTCAATCACACTCATTTCTAACATTTCCTTTACTTCCCTCTCCGCTTTTTTTGTTTGGAAAATGAAATTCTGCGGGGGCGCTGATGTATTGGTTTTGCATCACCTGTGTCGATTGCATGGGTAACTACATTTGTATTGCCGATGTCTGATTGGCTGTTGGAAAATGTGTCGCTGTACCGTATAAGGAAGTCTGCAACCTGTTGCTGCTGATATTCCGTCAGATTTTCCTTCAAGCGCTCAAAAAGGTCAAGAAGGTGCTCATGGACAGATTTAACAGTCTTAACTACAGAATTGTTCAGATCCTCACCCTCAAGCTGCGAGACAGCACATACTGGTTCACAGAATGCAGCAACAGTGCCCTTTTTTACAGTAAGGGGTCTTTCTGTTACATTCATGCATCTAAGAGGAATGAATGACCCGTTTGGTTTTACAACAGCTTTAGCAAGAAAAATGTGGCTACGGTCTATGAAGCGCAAGGTTGGTTCAACGACACAAGTTTGACTATTTAATTTCAACTACAGGTTTTCCACGGACAAGAATCTCACTTCTAGGGGATATTGTTATCGTCTCTCCTATAGTCACGCAACAGCAGGTGGCACTCTCTTCCGAGAGAGACAGATGCAGTGGTACGTTGAGCCCCTCGATTTCAAGAGCAAGCGAGTCTAGACGGATGCTGCATCCATTTCTGGTGAGAAAGTCTGCACCAAGGATTCCGTCGTTCTTTATATCAGCAAACTAAACTATATGATTGACGACCTTTTCGCCCTGTTTTACAGCTGCACTTAAACGACCTTGTAGTGGTGCAACCTCACCAGTAGCAGTAAGCAGAGACTTACTGACCCTCTGAACTTCTTGTACCACAAACTCAGGTAATTCCCTTAACAACTTTGTCCGCAGCAACGTAATTGAAGCACCAGTATCAACCAAACATTTAACAGATAATCCCTCCACATTAGCCATTATAAACACGCCCTCGTCATTGGTCCATGTATTATGTACGGACTACTATGAGGTTCGGCCTCGATAATTCATCTACTGTCGGGATGCAGCCCCCCGAGTCCGGCTTCATGCAGTTTTTCGAATTTCCATCAGTTTTTGATTTGGTGGTACCTTTTTGTTTATTGGGATCACTCTTGTGATTCGACCATTTCGGTTTGAAATTGCCCTGATTGTGCACAGGACTGGACTGGTTCTGGGCCTTACGATTGGTATCGGGTAACTTGTTTTCAATTGTATTCTTTGGGGCATCAGTCTCGTGTCTTAAAGACTCGGCCAACTGATCATTTGGTCAGTTGCCCTGATTGTGCACAGGACTGGACTGGTTCTGGGCCTTACGATTGGTATCGGGTAACTTGTTTTCAATTGTATTCTTTGGGGCATCAGTCTCGTGTCTTAAAGACTCGGCCAACTGATCATTTGGTAAAGATTGGAAGGGGTACTGGAATTTTGAAGAGGGACTTCAGCCTTTCCATCGACCGCACGTACTGGCCTATTTCTATATTTGTCGGCTGGCTTATGAGACTCAAGTCTCACGGCCAGGGTCTCAGCTTGGGTTAGGTTCTGTAATTGAGCTTCCCGCAAGCGTAGACGGATGTCCGAGTCTACAATGGCATCTATGAAGAAATCGACAGACAGTTTCAAGAACCGACTACTGTGCCTTTGGGTAAGCTTGACGGGTTAAGTTTACGTATAGACCTTGACAAATCAGACAATGACTCATCCTTGCCCTTAATCTTAGTCTGCAGCTTCACACGGTACATTTCTGATTTACTTTCACTGCCAAACCTCCGCTGCAATGAGGTGAGTTGAGAGAAATCACGGCGACCAGCACTATCAAGATCACTTAGTACTGCCCTAGCAGCATCAGACAGACTCTCCACCAAATAAAGGCCCTTCTCCCCATCATCCCATTTATCGATGTCTGTCACAATTTCAAACTGGGACAGATATTCCTCCCAGTCTTCCTTGCCATCATAAATGACTGGTTTCAAGAGAACTCTTTTAAAGAAAGGTCCCGTAGACTGTACAGTATTAGGATCAACACTTGAATCAGGACAAGTCGGCATTTTAGTACAAGCACGATCTGACGGAGTAGTACTGAAATCAACGCATGTTTGGGTACTAACAGGAGCAGCAGGTTTGTCTACTTGAGTGCTGCTAGCCAAACGGACACCTGTGTTAAACGAACTTGACCCGTTTGCCACGATTTATTGGAACCGTTTTGTGAGCAAGTAGGGTGTCTCCTAGTATATCTGAGGCTAGACATTTGTCAGTATGACTATCAGTTTGACAACATCTGTCGGACATAGAAACACGTGTACAGGGTATCAATTCACTTTGAATCTTGTTCAAATTGTCCTTTAAATTGAAGGTTTGTTCATTGAGTAACTGCACTTCTTTCCTAGTGTTGACTAATTCGCTTAGAAGATAAGTAGATGTTTCAAGGACGTTATTAAAAACAGTTCTCATTTCACCCTGAAAATCTTCAATTAAACACGAAATGAGTTCATTTTCTTTTTCAAACATGTCCAGAACAACTTCCGGAGCCAAAGCGGTAGTATGGGGTACCAACGGAGAACGCGTGGGAGTGAGAGAAAAAGTAGCCATGTAGCGAAACGGTTCAAGAAAATTTCTTATGGTTATGCCCATGGAATATAAAATTAACTAAGCGACACTAACATGGCATCACGTTGGGCGCTAATGTGACAAATAGCATTGTCACCTTTAGATTAAGAGCACGCGTAGTGGAACTCGGTTCACTTCAACTTCAAATACGACTAGGACACGTGGATATATATATAATTAAAACGATGTATTCGGCATGTTTAAAATTATCATAAGTACATGTAGATAAAGTACAAACAGATATATAAGTTCATGGGGAAGAGACAAAGTCAATAAAATCAGAGTGTCGTAAACACGTCTGCACTCTTGGGAGTCCACGCTCTGTCTGCTAACACAAAGGAACACTACTCCCGAAGTCAACTTTCATACCAGTGGCCACTTGACTTACACACTCTAAAACCCATTACAAAACACGATATAAGTCCACTCGTCACACACATACGACCTACAAAGGACGACTCGTCACACGCAGGTACACGGACCGGTTGTACAGGTGACGTAGCTAAAAATAGATCACCTACGTGGACAACGGCACGAGTACGAATACTACAATAAATATCAGCATTCACTCACGCGTGCATGCTCGAACATCATTCGCACCACATAATCATAGGTCCGTGACAATACAATAACTAAATAGTTTTGACCCTGTTACACTGTGTTTTACATCGGTCTGCCTGAAATATGAGTAAAATGGACCCAAATATTTCAAAGTAGCTATTTTGCCAAAATGTTAAAAAAATGTATTAGCTAAAAAACTTGGGATGGTCGGGAAATAAGAAACATGAATTGTTACATTTATCTTAAGCGTAATCAGTGACTTAAAAATAACAAGGCCACGAAAGTAATCCAACTCGTCATTGCTTTTCAACTGGAAAATACAACAGTCTTTTCAAATATCATCATAGAATCTAGTTATATAGTTATGCAGCATCTCTGACTTTCTGTTCAACAAAACTTGTCGTATTTCTCGTAAGAGTTAGCTCCCTTGATACGGACAAAATTAAAATTGGCAATGATTTATTTTTAGCTCCTTTATTCTATATCTTTGGTATATTTTCGTATATCTAATGTAGATTAATACTGATGGAATTCGGGAAACATATTTGGTCTGTGTAAAATGCAGGCCTCCATTCTTCTTAAGTTGAATCGATTAAAATCGGAACTCTTCAATGCGTCGAGTTGCCATGAAACAGTTCGTAAACAGCAATGGCGGAAAACTAAGCCGACAAGTGCCTGTTTATGTAAGTAATTCGGCTATAGATGCCGTTCATTTGTTAAATGATGATATCTAACAAGGTACAACTAGTGTACGTGATTTGTCAATCGAAAGAACAAAATTTTGTATTAGCAGATGTTAATCACATTAGAAGTAGGTAATACTGTACATGTGAACAGAATATACATGTAGTTCGTAATACTACATTGTATGACCATGGCTGATTATCACGGCTGTCAGTGAAAAACCGAATGTGTCATGTATATATATTGCATTTCATAATCTATCTTTGACGAACAAACGTCTTCTTGGTTATTATTAAGAATAATATGATAATGATATGGCATACAATATAATAATGTTAAACCCAAACCCCCAACATTACTCATAGTCCTATAAATATTTTTTTCAATAAAGTATCCAACTAGAAAAGGTAACAACTACAGTGGAATCCGTTCTGCAGAAACTGGATTTTCGAATTATTATCTGTTGTCACCTAATCCACTGGTACTGTTTGCAATGTATTCCCTATAACATCTGTACGTACAGGTGCCAGTCTGTTAACACCCATAACAATGAATCAAATTCTTGATGATAAACCATTTGTTCTGTGTACTGTTTACGTAACCAGATATAGATTTGACATAGTTTAGATTTCAATTAGTCACAGATTTATTTTCAATTAGTCAAACATCAAATGGAATTACCCAATTGGTTGAAATTACTGCATGCTGTTTTGCTTTGTAATATTTCGTGATTCATTTAAATCAAATCACTCAATAAGCATCATGCATCAGTTCGATCCATATTACCTTTTTTATGTAGTTGACATGGTACATCACACACTCAAGTGTTTAAGCCCAACTGAGCATATGCATTACATCACATAAAGGTGTTTTTTATCAATATTGATTTTGTATATCTGACATATTACAACAATTAAAAATATCTATTTATTTTTCCAGAATTTGATTTATCTAGATTACATGACATGAGGATGGAGAGAAGGATAGGCTTAGCAGCATTAGATGTGGAACGGTATTCCAAACAAGGAACAGCTGATCTACAAGTTGGACATATAGATAAAGCCCTTGATGCATTTAAGTATGCCTACAAACGCTCTCGCGATGTGGATGATGGCTATACTGAAAGAGCTTGTGCTTTCAATCTTGGTGCTGCATATGTCGCTGCAAATCAAGCCAGAAAAGGGTTGGATGTTCTTCAGCAAGCAATTCCTCCCGACAACAAAAAGGAGGGGCGATCCAATGGTGACCTCTATTTCAATTTTGGTTTAGGATTTGAAAGCCTTGGAAATTTAGAGGAGGCCATAAGATACTACACAAAGTCATACGAAGAGTATAAGTCAGAGAGAGATAACCTCCAGATGGAAGCAGAATCGTTGGAAAAACTTGGAAATTTACAGGTGAAAACTGACAACATTTTTGCAGAAGATTCATACGGAAAATTGGCGGAAGTTTATGCTCTCATGAATCAACCTGTTAAACAGTTAGAAGCCTTGAACCTTAAAGCCAACCAACAACATAAACACAATAAATCTGCTGAATGTGAGGTTACTGCTGATGAATGTCTCAAGCTTACAGAGCAATGCGGCAGTATAACCCAAGTCGGTAAGTCATTGTATCACATCATCAGATTACCTGTATTTAGAGTTAATGATACTTTAAAGACAGGTATGAAAATCAAGTGAAATATTAACATACTTTGTTTTTATGGTTTTAACGTTCTTCTGATTTTCTGAGGATTTTTTTCATCCCTTTTTTTAGGAAATGTTCTAAATGACCTTGGATTGATCTACACCCAAATGCAGAAGTATGATCGAGCTATTTCCTGTTTCGAGCAAGCATTGCCATTGGTCCGTGGTAGGTCAGGTGACAAGAAGCAAGAAGCGGTTATCCTTCAAAACCTTGGTGCAACCTACAACTTTGTTGGTGACTACCAGAGAGCTGTTGGTTTTCATGAATCTGCTTCAAATTTATATGGTAAGGTTTTAGAGTATCTTATATTTGTGTTAAAACAACCTTTTGAAAATTGCTTACCAAAATAATGTGTCTTTAATATGTACCAGCTATATCCCCAGATAAACACCTGTGCACAAATAGCCACCCCCCTCCATTCCCATGTCTTTCTTTCTTTTTGGAGAATCATCTATTTTAAGATAATAAGCTAAAAGTGGTTAAAAACTAAACCCTCCCTAAACTTTAATACTTAATTTTTACACCAGGAGTCGGGGTTTATTTGAGGGAAAATACACAGAACTAATTAATGCACTACACCCTGCTAAAAATGGTACATATCCTTACTGTTATACTTTTTGTTTGCGCTATTTTAAAATGGCATAATAAAAAAAAATATTCAAAAAATCAGCATCAGAGATTATGAACATTAGACAACAAAAAGTTATGTTTTAGAGACTGAAATATTATAGTCAATACAGGAATTTGTTGTGTGTATGCAGATTAGATTAACTGAATGATCATAGATATGTAATTTGCTAGAGCATGTTTAAATCTAAAGTTATTTCAAAGAGAGGTCATTGTGAAATATTGTTGATATGACAATACAAGCTGACAACTTTTATTGACAGCTGAGCTGAAAAATCGGAACAGTCAGGGACAATGTTTTGCTAATCTGGCCTTTGCACTGAGTCAGTTGGGAGACAAAGAGGGAGCCGGAGAAGCTTTTCTACATGCTCATCAAGCTGCCAAAGACACCGGTGAGTACAAATGTACTATATAAGTCAGTCATCCCCGATTTCCCACTAAAGCCTATCGACTTATAAGTACATCTGATATAAGTTACAACTGCCATCTCTGCCTCGGCACAGCTTGTCTATCAGATGTGAGTACAGATAATTGCCACTAACACGTGCCTGCATTGGGTTCAGAAAGTCAAAGACATAGAAATAATTTCTTCTGGAGTAATAACAGACTTTTGTTCAATTTATCAAAACCTAAAATTATCTGTTATTTTCAAGATCATAGGTAATTTTTTTCAACATTTTAGATTGGGGTTGACATTCTTTTTGCATTTCTCTTTGAGTTGAAAGTTCCATTGAATTTACTACAGAGTATATAGACTTTTTTGTTTCATTTTCCTGCATGTTCATGAATAAAAGAAACCAGTTAACTCATTCAGCTGTCAATGTATCATTTGGCAGGGGACACCCGCACACAGTGGCAGGTGTTGGAGGGCCTCGGAGCAGTTGCGTTTAACAACGGTAACATCCCCCGGGCCATTGACTGTTTTAAACGAGCCCTAGCTGTCATAGCAGCCTCCGAATCTAACACAACAGTACAAGACAGGATTGTAGGGAAACTAACCAACGCCCTCCAAGAACAGATTATAAGGAAATCTGTAGGCACCAGCAAGCATGATGCTCCTGTACGATTTATCAACTTTAGCTGACATTTGACTAATTCATATATATTGTTGTACATCTTGAAGCATCTGAACTTAATCTATTTAGTCAGCAGGTTTTCTGGAATTATTTGCAATAACACTTCATTAATTTCAGTTTAACACAATGATGATAGAATTTAGGAACTCCTTTCAATCAAAGTTCATAATGAAAGTGTCACTGTGGACACTAGAAAAAATTGTTATATTTTGAATATGATGTTTCAGGTAAAGACTGAACAGCGACATCTGACAATGGCCAATATTCTCTCTGGTCGGTCTGTCCAGGCTGCTAATCCAGTGTCTGAACAACCCATCAAAATGGAAACTGCTGATCCAGTACAGTCCTCAAGTAAACCAGACAATCCGAGGTAAACACTGTATTATTGCCTAAAATGTTCCTTCTGTAGTGAATATATTAGTTTCAGAATACAAATGTAGAATCCTTCATGGAGATTTTTGAAAAGGCACAGAAAAACTACATTTGTTTCTTTTAGAAAAATTACATAAGTGAATAATAAAATGACTATTATTGCTTTCAAAAAGTAATTGTCTGGTTTTCATAATGTACAACATTTTGTAACTTTATATTCTCAAAAGACAAGAAGAAAAAAATAGAAAGAGAGACTTTGGCTATAAAATTTAGATGTAGAGAATATCAACTTTTTATTACAATATTAATATAGTGAAAATACATATGTATGTTTATATCACGGAGCGCATCCAACTAAGAATTAATTTAAATCTCTGGGCTCTCTTGATAAACAGCTGATCCCTTTACAGGTTTGTCCCAGTGAACAGACCTGGGTCCCGCAGAGAATTCCAGAAAGTGGCTCGGGGCCTGAGTTCGCTGGGATCAGGCTCATTGAGCATGGATGGTAGTGAGACACTGAGACCTGGCACTCTGATAGTCAACTCGTCTTCTTCAGCATCTTCCTCCTCCTCTTCGTCTTCATCATCCTCATCTGAGGAGGATAGCCAGGATGAAAAGTAAGTTTGGTTTGGTTGTCTTGTGACTTGAAAGTCTCTTTAGATATATATAGATAATATAACAGCTATTGTAGAAAAAATACATGGTATGTATTTTATCTTTTATGTTTTAAAATCTGTTGTAGTTTCAGTCATGGTTTTATTTATTGATAAATGTGTAAATATTCAGACTGTTGAGTGATACTGATACAGGACTTTGGGTCTATTCTTTGTGACACTGTTGGTATAATTTACTGACCATCAATGCACATGATACTTGTATTAATTGTTGTCAGTCATCCATGATGAAAATATTGTTCATCCACATCCAATATTATTTTATTTGTGGATGAAATTGAACAAAGCTTTGCATATTTATTAAGTTATTAATTGCTTTCTTGCATGCATAGTTTAATCTCTCAAGACATTTTAACTTATACAATTTGTTGTGGGTTCATTACTTCTCAGCAGTATTTTATAACAATATTTGTTATCTTTGAGATCTTATAATCTAGTTGGTATATTTAACCATCTTATTTATTGAAGTCCAAAATATTTAACAAACTATATCTTGCTTCTGATATACTGTAACCATATATTTCTGCACATGTTAACACATAGTTTTGTATATCAAAGAGAATATTTAAGTGGTTTTTGTTGCTGTGAAGTACCATTACACAGTGTAACTTAGAATTCAGTGATTTGCATTGAAGTAAATATTGCTTATAATTTTGTTATTTAAAATGGGCACATAAACTATTGAAAAGTATGATAACCTCAAAAAGCCATGTTTAAGTATAATAAATATAGCATGTTTGTAATGAGTGTTATCTAAATCACAGACGAGACATGCTTATAAAGTTTTTAACTGATTACACAGACGAGACACGTTTATCAAGTGTTTAACTGATTACACAGACGAGACACATTTATCAAGTGTTTAACTGATTACACAGACGAGACACGTTTATAAAGTGTTAAACTGATTACACAGACGAAACACGTTTATAAAGTGTTAAACTGATTACACAGACGAGACACATTTATAAAGTGTTAAACTGATTACACAGACGAGACACGTTTATAAAGTGTTAAACTGATTACACAGACGAGACACATTTATAAAGTGTTTAACTGATTACACAGACGAGACACGTTTATAAAGTGTTTAACTGATTACACAGACGAGACACGTTTATCAAGTGTTTAACTGATTACACAGACGAGACACGTTTATCAAGTGTTTAACTGATTACACAGACGAGACACGTTTATCAAGTGTTTAACTGATTACACAGACGAGACACGTTTATCAAGTGTTTAACTGATTACACGTTTATCAAGTGTTTAACTGATTACACAGACGAGACACGTTTATCAAGTGTTTAACTGATTACACAGACGAGACACGTTTATCAAGTGTTTAACTGATTACACAGACGAGACACGTTTATCAAGTGTTTAACTGATTACACAGACGAGACACGTTTATCATGTGTTTAACTGATTACACAGACGAGACACGTTTATAAAGTGTTTAACTGATTACACAGACGAGACACGTTTATAATGTGTTTAACTGATTACAAGCTTGTCAGTGTTTTAGTGCTGATGGTGGTGGTCTATACAATTTAACACTAATTTCCCTGTTGTGGAAATCTACTAAAACATGGTTTATCAAAAGCATTGTAGAAATTGAATTGAAATGTTTTAAGAACAGGAATTCAACATCTAAGTCCAAATTGATATGATTAAAATTGTTATTAATAAATTGTTTCAATTATCAAAGATTTAGAAATTTTAGGTAACACAACTATGATATTTATTATCAGTAATTCCACAACAGTGTTATTATCTTCTAATTTCCTTTTTTTTATTTCCTTTTTAACATTTAATACTTTTCATTGTTTCTGTATGAAAAGATGAAAATGCCTTCTTTATTGTCCTGTTTCTTAAGCTTATGTTTTCAATACCATCATGTCTGGTGTCATTAACAAGTCATTTATGTTTTGTGTTGATTTGTACATGTTTGTCAAAGTGGAAAGACAAAACAGACTAAGTTGTAGCGGCAGGGTATGTTGAGTGTACTTATATGATACTATAGATACAGGTGCTGCCCACTTCGGAAATTACAGATGTGAGGATTACTGGTTTTTTGTTGTAGAAGGAAGTCAAAAGTACATGTAGAAGTAAAACCGGGGGGAAGTCTCCATCCTACCTCTAAATATGGAAGGTACTACATAATAGTATCATCACATCAGCAGGATATATCATTGAATATCTAAATTTCATAGACTTTGATGCTACAATATTGTAGTGATCTAAATGATATTAAGTCAGTAGAAGATAAAATCAATGTATTTATTTCAATGATTGAGGTGAAACTTTTACATGTTTATACTGTTGTGTGATACACACACATGGACTGTGTATCACGAATTTAAATAAAGTGCACAAAATTAATCTCCGTCTAATAATCACATTTTCTTCTCTTATCTAATCTTACAATCCATTCAAAATAATATTTTATCATGTGTACTTAGAGTAGTTATTTGTATAATTGTTGCACAATAACACAACAGCTTCATTTATTAATCAACACCTTATTTAGTGCAGACAGACTTAATATGAAATAACATACCAAAACTCACAAATTCAGTTTTGTTTTCTCGTTTGAGCACACCACCTATTGAAACTATTTGTAATATGACTAATTTATGCTTCATTTTGACTGTTTCAATTATCCTGCCATTTTAGCTTGACATCTTCCAAACGAATTGACACAAAGGCTTCCACCATTCAAAGGAAGCCTTTATTGTCAACAGCATCAGAGAAAACATCATCATCATCGTCATCTGACTCCTCGTCATCAGAGGAGGAAGGAGGGAAAGAGGATGATGAAGAACACATTGATACACAGGCTGTCAAGGCAGAGATGAAAAAACAACTGGCTCAAATCAGAGAAAGTAAGGAAGTTTGACCTACATGGACTATAGAGATACAAACAATTATTGGTACAAATCAGAGAAAGTAAGGAAGGCTGACCTACATGGACTATAGAGATACAAACAATTATTGGTACAAATCAGAGAAAGTAAGGAAGGCTGACCTACATGGACTATAGAGATTATTATTGGTACAAATCAGAGAAAGTAAGGAAGGCTGACCTACATGGACTATAGAGATACAAACAATTATTGGTACAAATCAGAGAAAGTAAGGAAGGCTGACCTACATGGACTATAGAGATACAAACAATTATTGGTACAAATCAGAGAAAGTAAGGAAGGCTGACCTACATGGACTATAGAGATACAAACAATTATTGGTACAAATCAGAGAAAGTAAGGAAGGCTGACCTACATGGACTATAGAGATTATTATTGGTACAAATCAGAGAAAGTAAGGAAGGCTGACCTACATGGACTATAGAGATACAAACAATTATTGGTACAAATCAGAGAAAGTAAGGAAGGCTGACCTACATGGACTATAGAGATACAAACAATTATTGGTACAAATCAGAGAAAGTAAGGAAGGCTGACCTACATGAACTATAGAGATTATTATTGGTACAAATCAGAGACAGGAAACCCATACCTGAGCCACATAACGCACGTCAGAGAAAAATGTTCACAGTTAAATAAAACAAAGAACACAGCAGAGACAGAAATGTTCACAGTTAACAAAAACAAAGTACACAGCAGAGACAGAAATGTTCACAGTTAACAAAAACAAAGTGCACAGCAGAGACAGAAATGTTCACAGTTAACAGAGACAGAAATGTTCACAGTTAACAAAAACAAAGTGCAAGCAGAGACAGAAATGTTCACAGTTAACAAAAACAAAGTGCAAGCAGAGACAGAAATGTTCACAGTTAACAAAAACAAAGTGCACAGCAGAGACAGAAATGTTCACAGTTAACAAAAACAAAGTGCACAGCAGAGACAGAAATGTTCACAGTTAAAAAAAACAAAGTACACAGCAGAGACAGAAATGTTCACAGTTAACAAAAACAAAGTGCACAGCAGAGACAGAAATGTTCACACTCCATGATCAAATTAAATGACATGCCAAAATCAATGTAACTAATTCTGTAAAACCAGTGTACTTGTATTAGAAATAAAAGGCTGACACTTAATTTTCAATGTTATGATGTTAATTGCAGGCTCTAGCTCAAGTTCTGAAGAAGAGGAGGAAAACCAAGCGGAGAAAAAGAAAGTGAGTTTTTTTTATTTATTTAATGGTTAATCTATCAAATGGATACAATTATATGTCAATTTCAAACAGTATTAGATTAAATATTTACTAAATATTTGTGGTAACATATTTGTTTTTGCAGATAACTATACTTGATCAATTTATAATATGTTTAATGTATGTCGAATACCAAAGTTATACCGGAATTTGTTTAATTGGTCCATATCTCATGCTGTTCTGAAGAATCATCAATAAAATGATATTTTATCCTGAAATAAGCCAACCTCCTGAATCAAAGGTAGTGTGTTACTTCTGTAGTATGGCAATACAAACATCGGATTTAGTCATTTTTGTTACGATGGGATTAAACAATAATTGTTTAACAATCAGTTATTTGTAACACAGAGGTGATAATGTTGCTATCACTGTCTTATAATGTCTGTTGTCTATATTTATACAAGAACTTGTTCTAATTTTTTATGCAGGGTACACATGCCTTGGGGACAGTAGATGAGAAGAGCAATGAATCAACATCTTCATCCTCTTCCTCTAGTTCTGATGAAGATGAGTAAGTCTTACATTTGAAGAGATTACCTAACAGTAATGATAAAAACATTGAATTATTTCTCTATTCAATTTAGATTTTAGTCAAGCAGTAATATAAAGACTATAAAACAATTTCCACATTTTTTGTACCTAGTAAATCTGTGGAAACAAAACAAAGACATATGCTTGAGAAAATGAGGACACTTAATACTTGGTTTGTAATAGTATATCTGCGAAAATATTGGATTTACAACTGAGTGACTTTGTCACAGAAAATCTTAAGTAAGGAAAATAACTAATGAACAAAAGACTGAATTTAAAACCTTGAATTTGTAGGTCTGCACCCCAACTGCCCACCTCCCCTCCTTTACTGTCAGGGAAAATGAACACATACGAAGACCCAAGCGTTAACTACAAACAGATCGACTTTGTAAACAAGCAAAAAGGTGAGGTACCATCTACAACTTCAAGCACACAAGACCATCCCAACTATTTAAGTGGGCAGTCTGACCTCTCAAAAGAAGATGATGACGATGAAAGTGACGATGAATTTGATTTTGAGATTTCGGGAAAATATGAAAATATTGAGAAATTAAGGACGCATGACAGCTCTGTTACTGCCCCATCGTCTAGCCAGACAGGTATACAGATGTCAACACTTTAATTTGGTTTCTTTACTTCAAATGTCTGTAGGAATAGCTTTTAGCTAATATAACCAGACCTCAGGAGGGAAATATATATACTACCCAGACATCTGTAAACAAACCATCATAGCTTTTTGTTGAAATATATATATAACCACGACATCTGTAAACAAACAATTATAGCTTTTTGTTGAAATATATATATAACCACGACATCTGTAAACAAACAATCATAGCTTTAAGTTGGTATGTATGATAGACCTCAGGAGGGAAATATATTTATATATAACTAGGACATCTGTAAACAAACAATCATGGCTTTTTGTTGGTATGTCTAATAGACCTCAGGAGGGATATATATATACTACCCAGACATCTGTAAACAAACATAGATTTTTGTTGGTATGTCTGATAGACCTCAGGAGGGAAACATATATACTACCCGGACATCTGTAAACAAACAATCATAGCTTTTAGTTGAAAGTTACTTCTGGTAAAATCTCATCAAAATGTGAACTGATTATAAGGTAGATATTTGTTACTTCATGTAAAATCTGTATGAGAATGATGAATTAAGTAAAAGATAGATATATGTTAGTGCAAGTAAATCTCCTTTAGAAGAATGAATTAAGTACAAAGTAGATATATGGTGCTGTAAGGGATATTTCCTTTGACAAAAGTATAATATGGTAAGTTTTTCAAGATGTTTATGAATTAAAAAGGTATGAGATATCAGTAATGTTATTGTTTAGTGGGTTCTAGTGTAATTCCTCTTTCAATTAAATATTCACAACAAATTCTACTTTATTCCTATATCCTTACAATACCCATTGTATTGTTGCTCTGTATAGAACCTCTTTCTATCAGTATGTATACATCATCATATTTACTCTCCTAAGGTCTGTTGCTAGGCATTAGAAACTTGCACAGATTAAATTATTAACTCAAAAGTGTCATTAATCTGCTTAATACTTACAGCTGCTGGTGAAATGATTTACCTTTTTTTTTCTTCATTATTCGATCTATTAAGACTAACACCGTAAATAGTCCTGTCATATATCATAAACACAGAAACCTGTCACAGTCAAAGCTTTTGACATCTAATGTCAACCAACAGCATAAAAGTTACCAGTTTACCACAGGTTCTGTTTATAAGGAATGTACAAAAATGCAAACTTGAGACATACCTTTCAAAACAAATGTAACAGTACTAAAACAGACATGAATGTGGTAGTTTTAAGTTTCTAGGGCTCTAATGTCATTGGGCACTGAAAATTAGGAAAACCAGTTGGCTGTATGACATTATTTTTAAACCTGATAAATTTACAGCAGAAATAGAAAAAACATAATGTTTCCTCCATTTTAATTTGATAAGAAATAAGCAATAAAGATATCATTTGATATTCTCTACTTAGACTTAAAGATTTTGTTTAATCCCACACAAAATCTAATGTTATGGATAGAATACTATGGATAGCCAATCTAAATGTCTCTGTCTGCAAAAATAGACTTACAGCTGTGTCGTAGAAAAATGGCCCTAATTGGGTCCTATCCGTTGGTATACTGATTTGATATCAGAAAATAAAGAGATCTGTATACAACGAGGTTATGTATATATCTATATATATATATACAGGTTTCAGGAAGTATCTATGGCTATGACAGGTTCAACTGCATGGACTTGTACACTCTGTAGTTATGTATGTGAGGTCATTTTCATTTATTGTGTCATACTGTAAAAGCATTCATTTTCGTGGAGTATTCATTTCTGCTGCTGCTCGTAGATACTCATAATCCACCAATTTATAATGTCCACAAACTAGTAGAAAAGTTATTACAAGTACATTCATTGAGTCTTTTTATATCAACAAACTCAAGTGTTCAAGAAATATCATATTTTTGAAAAACTACAAAAATTGAACTCCACAAAAATATCAGATTTTTCAGTAACTTTGATGTTTAAATGTTATCCTTACTGACAGTTTTGATAATGGTTGTGCTATATTGAAAATGCATGAACTATGATCATGGCTTTAAATGTGTTAACTTTCCTCTATACTAAATGGAAATGAAATTAGAAAACAAAAATCTCTTAAAAGATGTATGTTCATGAAGTATTAAAATTATGTATATTTTTCTGTTACTCACTAACAGTTTGATCATTGATTAAACCTTAAGATTTAAATCTCAAAAAAATCCTTAAATTTTTTTTTAAAAATGATTTTTGTATTTGTTTGAGCTGTTAATTTATGAAATATTAGCTTGATTTATGCCTACAAGTGTGGTTTGATATTAAATCAGTTATGATGAAAAATATTGAACCAATTTGATCAAAAACAATTTATGTAAGAAAGAAAGCAAAAAATGTTGTCATTAGCCAGTAATTGACTGGAAATTATAAATAAGTTCAATAAGAATTATTCGATTCACAATTTGCGTTAAACGTGAAGTAATAAGATTGTTTTGTGATCAGTTTGATCAGAAAGTTTCAAAATATGCAATATGGTTATGTGATAAATCTATGTTGGATAAATATATTTATAATAATTGTAAGTTACAAAATGGAATACCAATAACACAGATAACTGTAGTATACTTTTAGAAGATAAACATTATCGACTGTACAGAAACCGGTAAATGAAGAATGTAAAATGTTATAAGTTGAACAATATTGCTGAAAGTGCTAATCAAGCGTTGTTTGATAAACAGATACTGTTCCTAAGGATGAGGAAAGAGGTATGATACTTGTGTTATGATTTGGTTTGACCATCAAGCTGTGTATTGCTTTCATTAACATCTTAGAATAGCCAGGAAATTATTCAGTTTGTCCTCTTTATTTAAATTCTGCTGTGTATAGAATACATGAGAAACGTTGCTATGATACTTTAGTATTTTTGTGTGTTATAGAATGATGCATTATTTTTGGCTTTCGTGAAAATCTGGGATTGAAATCGATAATTATACTTGAACCACTGTAAACTACACTGTGACTAAATTTAGAATAAGATACTTCATTGCCTTGGCCACTTTGATGGCAGACAACATTAACTTTTAAAGTTTAAACTTTTAAACTAACACTAATATTTGTTTTTTTTATTTTAAAATATTTTTTACTAGATCTTAATGAACACATCAATAGAACCCCTTCACATGTCAATAGAGATATTACATTGTAGTTTAATTGTCCTCTTAAGTAATTAGCTACAGATTCAATAATACCCTAAAACTGAATACAGGTAAAACAAATCATAGCCAGAATATTGTTGAGACAAAATTTAATCTTTAAAAATGTTTCGTGAGAAGTTTTCATTCTAAAAATAATTTGTGTTTGAATTAAGGTTTTGTTAATATATTGATGTTTTTGAATGACGTGTCATTGTGATTCTTAGGATTTTATTGTTTCACAAGGCCTCTGTATTTCTATTCTTCCTGAAGGGAGAGCATATACTTCCTGCATTGTCCGTTTGTTCATCCATCCATCAACAGATTGTCTGAAGTATATAACAAAAACTAAAAGAGTAATCAACATGGAACTGGACACATAGATCTTGATAAGAAGAAGTGCAGTGTACAAGAATCTTACCTCTCTTTTTCAAAATTTAGGAGTTATCGCCCTTTGTTATTTTTCATTCTTAAACACAAAATCTATAGGAGATATCAACATGAAACTTCTAGCGTTTATTCGGGAAGTATCCATCAGTTCTACCGATTCTCTTGTCTATTTGATACGATTAGACTGTAAATAATACTTTGTGTTGGAGACATTCTGTTAGCATGTTTGATGTGAAAATATTGTTTTCTGGTAGTGTTTTGATTTGAAAAGTGTTTTCTGTGAGCATCATGATTTGAGAATATTGTTTTCTGGTAGTGTTTTGATTTGAAAAGTGTTTTCTGTGAGCATCATGATTTGAGAATATTGTTTTCTGGTAGTGTTTTGATTTGAAAAGTGTTTTCTGTGAGCATCATGATTTGAGAATATTGTTTTCTGGTAGTGTTTTGATTTGAAAAGTGTTTTCTGTGAGCATCATGATTTGAGAATATTGTTTTCTGGTAGTGTTTTGATTTGAAAAGTGTTTTCTGTGAGCATCATGATTTGAGAATATTGTTTTCTGGTAGTGTTTTGATTTGAAAAGTGTTTTCTGTGAGCATCATGATTTGAGAATATTGTTTTCTGGTAGTGTTTTGATTTGAAAAGTGTTTTCTGTGAGCATCATGATTTGAGAATATTGTTTTCTGGTAGTGTTTTGATTTGAAAAGTGTTTTCTGTGAGCATCATGATTTGAGAATATTGTTTTCTGGTAGTGTTTTGATTTGAAAAGTGTTTTCTGTGAGCATCATGATTTGAGAATATTGTTTTCTGGTAGTGTTTTGATTTGAAAAGTGTTTTCTGTGAGCATCATGATTTGAGAATATTGTTTTCTGGTAGTGTTTTGATTTGAAAATATTATAAAAATAGTGTCTTTATTTAAGAATGACATTTAGACATTGGAGTGAATAATCTTCATTGTTTGTCACTGCTGAAGGAGTGACGACACGGAGTTATATCTTTACAATAGGTTATTCTATTTTGGAGGTTACTGATCGGGACTATCGTTTACCAGTTTTTGTGATATTTCTAAAGAACATGTGATAAAAGTCTTGTTAGCTTTGTATTTTGCTTTCACTATGCAAAGAAAAAATTCTAAATATTTTTGTTTTTATTATCAATTATATGGTATCAATTTATATCAATTAAGGTTAAATGTTATCATTCACTTTCTGAACTAAAAAAATTGAGAAACAATATTGATATCATGTTGATACGGGGATGTTACTTTCAATGTCTATATAAAGTAGTTTTCTGTCATCTTAGATACAGGAGTATTCTTGAAAGTTTATGTTGCTTGTTTTATAAAAGAGCATGGCATTTTCATTCTCATTTCTTATGTGTAAAATGTAGATTTATAGATTTTAGCCAGTTTATTATAAATTTAAGAGACGGTACATGAATGTTCTTCATTAACTGTTTGTAAATATCATTACAATTCACGCATTCAGTACTTAAAATCTGTTTATTGGAAACTTAAAAAAATTATTTAAACCTTTACAAACCTGAAATCAGCAAATCTAAATGAGAGAAAAAATTTGATATGTTGACATATATATTTTGTAAAATTGGTTTTGGTGTAAATTGATCAAGCTTATGAAATGATTGTATACTTTAACACCGAGAAAAAACTGTAAGAGTAATATATCAGCAAACTTTGGTATCTTCCTATCTTTTTTAATTTTATAAAGTAAATGAACAAGACATTACCTTTGATCTTTAGCTGCTGCAGCAGCACGTGCTTCTGGTAATTGGGAGGACCACCGCGAGGACGACCCCACCTATCAGAGCATCGACTTCCGCACACAGCAAGGAGGGTTTGCTAACACTCCACTAGGAGATAATGAGGACCACAAACATGTGTCAGACCTACCAAGAGGAGAAAGGTAAATAACCCAATATATTTTAGTTTCCAAATGTAGATGCTTTTTTCGATGTGTCAGCATTATCCATCTCTGTGACAATGTTTTACTCTTCCCAGTAGATTACATTTCTTCGCCATTGTAAACCATTTAACAAATAAATGTTAATGTTGTAGAAAAGATAATAATTCATTATAGATAGTCTTATATAAATACTAACACTCTGTTACTCACAGCTTCAGTTATCACATGTATAACATTAACATGTATGTTTTTCCCTGTAATATATATTTAATTGCATATTTCTCTGCTGTTGATGCCCTCAGTAGACACGAATCTCCATAAAATTTCTTCTGTTCTTATAATGCATGGTAAATAACACAGAAATAGATTGGATTTAGCAGATTAACAGCATGCTGTTGTCTTTTTTCCTTATGTCTTTGTATAACGATGATATATCTGCACCTGTGCAATTGTATATACTTTTGGACTTTTGTATATACTACATTAATTCAATCATTCATATTTATAAACGATAACATAAAATACTTCAGTATAGTAGTCGTTCATGTAGATTTTCTAAATTCTATTTGAAATGGCCTGTACTAGGTTGAGCTTGAAACAAAAGTTACAATGTTATCAATGGCATTCGTTTTTTTTAACTAAAAGCATGCATTAATGTCAATATGTAAATGTTTCGTTAGATACAATGTTTTTTTCATCAGTTAGATGTGAAGTCACATCTTCACCTTAGATATATTATGATTCACCAAACTGCCACTTAGAATGAAAATTAACCATTACTTACTGTTAATGTTTATTTATAATGAATACCAACGTCCTTAGATATTTATTCACACAATAACAATGAAACATTTTTATTCAGTAATTAATGATATACCAATAAATACCATGTTGAACCATTATACCAGAACATATCCACTAATACTTTAATATCAGTGTTACTCTGAATGTACTAGGTTTATCTGTAAATATAGCAGTCACTTATATATACCCTAATGTCGATATGATTTATCAAACAGCTCTGTTGTAGGTGATATTGAGAGGTCCTCTGTTGTAGGTGATATTGAGAGGTCCTCTGTTGTAGGAGTTATTTGAGATAGTCAATAGGTGCCGTTTATTACCGTGTATATATTGTTTGGTTGTTATGTCTATATGTATTATTACCTCGTTACTTGCTTTCCAGCCTCGCTGACCAGTATGTATACACCAGTAACTGCTTATCTGAAGCTTATGTGTCAATGTGAATGATTAGTGCTTTTTATCATCACTATTATTATAACACAAGTTACATGTTTCCTAGATGTTGAGAGTGATGTTTTTGTAGATATGTTGTACACACTTCGATTTCTATGATATTTCTTAAGAACTCTCACCAAACAATCAATGGTAAGTAAATATGTGTGTACACTAAAATCACTTACATTACAACCGTCATTCCCGGCCCACATCGACTGTCAAGTTTTTCATGTAACAATCAGAGTGAAATGAAGGGAAGTTACTGTGAGAGATCAAAATACGTTAACAATGGAGGTAGTGAGTCTTTTTTACTGAAAAAAAGAAAATACCCACATGTCAACATAATCGTAATCCAATCAATTTATAATACTAATGAAAGGAATAAAAGGAAGATGTAAACGGAGAATCTTGAAAAAGTACAAGGAGAATAAGATCAGGTGTTCCAGAAGAGTAAGCATCTCCTGCTCCACCAAATAAACCTTGGTCAGTCCAAGTAAGTGATGTCACATTGTCAATTGACAACAAGGTAAACAACAAGGAACCAGCAGGCAAACTTACAAGCATCAAACATGTCCAGTGCCATATCACACTATTGGAATATTTCTCAATGAGATCATTATGACGATCGTAAAACTTCCCTATTATGTTCATCAGCTTTCATCTTTTGAAATCTAGTGTTACGAGTTTGTCCGTCAGCTGACGACTGTTTGAACAAAAGTTATGATAACTGCAACAGGCCCTTGAATATCGAATCACACTACTTTCTCTCGAGGAAACAATGCAAATCATTATAAGATATTGATGGATTCGAGTATTAACTTCTTAGTAATGAAACCTCGGGTTTGTAACATAACATTTCTTGTTAGAAATGCAATAGATTAATACTAGAAGGGCTATAACTGTGTTATAACATAAGTATGGTTGAGTATAATGATATTGTACCAACACTGACGCTGTATTGTCTATTGTTACACACTGTTGTCGTGTCTTGACCGGCAGATGGACACATCTTTTGTTTGTATCGCTTCATGTTTCATGTTGTTTCTGAAAGTAAAATTTCGTATAAATGTGAATATATTTTGTTTGGACTGTAAGTGACTCGTTGGTCTAATTGTTATAAAACTTCAAACTGATCTGTAATTAAAGAAAGGTCATATGTAATTAAAGAAAGGTCATATGTAATTAAAGAAAGGTCATATGACCTATATTGGTATTGAAGATTTGTTGCCATACTATTGTACTTAGTTGAAGACTCCAGAATTTTACATATATAGCTACATATTTTATTTGTTAATTTCATTTTCATATTTTCAAGCATACTTACTGCTTAGAAGATATATAAATATATATATATATATATATATATATAGTAATATTTCAGGACTTCATCCAAAACTAATCACTATTAAAAGTTAATTAACAATGAAATAGAAAATGACATTTGAATTCAGAATTTTCTATTTTGGCTTTCTTTTCTATAAAAAATGATTTTATTTAGAGTAGACTGTTAGTAGTAGCTGATTTATCTGTTTAACCTGAACACTAACTTGCTTGCATCAGTTAAAAGAGAAATAGTTAGATTGTCACTTTTGATAGATTTATATGAAAGTAACAATTAGAATGAAGAAGCTGTTTAAGATTTATGCTCTACGTGTATTTGTCATAAAAACACGGCATTTTGTTCACAAGCCAATAAGACACCCTTAAAAGCCCAACAGGAATAATATGTAGACAACCTCTCCATTTTAAGTGATGTTTGGGTTTTATTTCCATCTTTCACCTCACATAACTTACATTAAGCTGTGTCCTTAAGCATAGTTGATCTTCACCTTTCTCCGATACATTGTCACGATTAATGGTTTCTACATTGTATGGATTCTTTAGCTCCGAATATTCATTTAAATCTCAGAAATAGATACATAACGTGTTTTAACAGAATCATCCCAGTTCTTGTGTTTCCTTATGTTTAAATGATTTCATATACAGATACGTTACCTAAACACATTAAGTGCTATGAGGATGCTAAGGTTCAATTTCCATTATGAGTAATGTTCGGCACATTGTTTATATGATATAAGGTCAAACGAAAATAGTTGTGTTAAAAAGATTATTTCATGGAATATATTTCACGTTCTTGGGCAAAACAGATTTATTGAAATAGAAGGGGAGACAACTGCTACATAATATACATGCAGAGTTATTTAACTTATACCATGGGTTCCACTGTTTAGTTTAGAACTTGGTAACAGTGAGATTATTGATTATATGATACAGCCTCAGATAACTGTAGAATTAACATCAAAATGGTGACGTACAAAAGACAATACCTGCAGCTGTTGTTTCCATCACACAATGATTACATGATGGAGAAATACCCAGTGATGTAATGTAGGCAATGGAGTGTTGTATGGATTATCATATCACTGTAGTCAAGTAGGGATAATGTTGTTATATGTAGGGCTGTCACTGACTAAACACATTGTGTAGGGCTGTCACTGACTAAACACATTGTGTAGGGCTGTCACTGACTAAACACATTGTATAGGGCTGTCACTAACTAAACACATTGTGTAGGGCTGTCACTGACTAAACACATTGTATAGGGCTGTCACTAACTAAACACATTGCATAGGGCTGTCTCTGACTAAATGCATTGTGTAGGGCTGTCTCTGACTAAACACATTGTGTAGGACTGTAGTGTCACTGACTAAACACATTGTGTAGGGCTGTCACTGACTAAACACATTGTATAGGGCTGTAGTGTCACTGACTAAATGCATTGTGTAGGGCTGTCACTGACTAAACACATTGTATAGGGCTGTCACTGACTAAACACATTGTATAGGGCTGTAGTGTCACTGACTAAACGCATTGTGAAGGGCTGTAGTGTCGCTGACTTAACACATTGTATAGGGCTGTAGTGTCACTGACTAAACTACATGTGCACAAATTCAGAGATGTTTTGTGTAGGGCTGTAATGTCACTGATTAAACTACATGTGGACAAATTCAGAGATGTTTTATGTAGGGCTGTAGTGTCACTGACTTAACTACACGTGGACAAATTCAGAGATGTTTTATGTAGGGCTGTAGTGTCACTGACTTAACTACACAGGACAAATTCAGAGATGTTTTATGTAGGGCTGTAGTGTCACTGACTTAACTACACTGGACAAATTCAGAGATGTTTTATGTAGGGCTGTAGTGTCACTGACTTAACTACACAGGACGAATTCAGAGATGTTATGTGTAGGGCTGTAGTGTCACTGACTTAACTACACAGGACAAATTCAGAGATGTTTTATGTAGGGCTGTAGTGTCACTTTTGATGTTACTAACTAAACAAAATCATGACAAAGAATTTGATGATAATTATGGGCCGTAGTGTCATTGATTAAGCAAGATTCAATCACAAAGTGGGAGAAATTATGTGTAGGGCTCTAGTCACTGGCTAAAACCAACTCTGTACAAAGGGAAATATGTAAAGCATTTGTGTCACTTTTAGACAGTGAGAGATGGTATGTGTAAGGTTGTAGTGTCACTGACTATAAACAACACTTTGACACAGTAGGAGATGATATGTGTAAGATTGTAGTGTCACTGACTATAAACAACACTTGATGGTAGGCGTCAGGTTGAAGTGTCACTGACTTTACATAACTCTTTGATAGAGTGAGATATGATATGTGTAAGTTTGTAGTGTCACAGACTTAGACACAAGTGGGAGATAGTATGAATAAAACAGTGTGTCAAAGATGGGATGGTACGTGTGGGAATCAAGTGTGACTAAATATATAACTGTGGCAAACAGATATAAATTTGTGTATACAATCCTTTTTCTTGTTGACACCTTACAGTATTTTGTTCTATAATTGTATTTAAATCATAACGTAGGCATCACTGACGAGGCCTTGCGATATCGCTGTCTGAAATTCAAAAGTTAATTAAGATGTATTAGACTCTAGATTGATATTGAAAGGTGCTAATTACTTTTGTGTCTTTTGTGCAGTCTTCAATACTTAAGCTTGAAGATGCTGTCGTCGAATGTTGCTTCCCGAGGTTTAACCTAACCTGCATACTTTGTTTTAATTCGTTGAGAAGTGGAACGTTCATAATATACCTGTACCCATGTACCATATACTTGACTTTCTTTTGAAATTATTCAGTATTTAAAATTATGAAATGCAATTCATTAATATCTAGGCACTTTCCTATCTGGATTTTGACATCGGCTTTGACATTTGACCAGTGATTTTGACATCGGTGTGGACATTTGACCAGTGAGTTTGACATTGGTTTGGACATTTGACCAGTGATCTTGACATCGGTTTGGACATTTGACCAGTGATCTTGACATTGGTGTGGACATTTGGCCAGTGAGTTTGACATCGGTATGGACATTTGACAAGTGATCTTGACATCGGTATTGACATTTGGCCAGTGAGTTTGACATCAGTTTGGACATTTGACCAGTGATTTTGACATCGGTTTGGACATTTGACCCGTGATTTTGACATCAGTTTGGACATTTGGTCAGTGATTTTGACATCGCTCTCGACATTTGACCAGTGAGTTTGACATAGGTTTGGACATTTGGCCCGTGATTTTGACATCGGTTTGGACATTTGACCAATGAGTTTGACATCAGTTTGGACATTTGACCAGTGAATTTGACATCGGTGTGGACATTTGGTCAGTGAGTTTGACATTGGTTTGGACATTTGACCAGTGATTTTGACATCGCTCTCGACATTTGGAAAGTGAGTTTGACATCGTTCTCGACATTTGGCCAGTGAGTTTGACATCGGTTTAGACATTTGGCCCGTGATTTTGACATCGGTTTGGACATTTGGTCAGTGATTTTGACTACAGTTTCGACATTTGACCAGTGAGTTTGACATCGGTTTGGACATTTGACCAGTGATTTTGACATCGGTTTGGACATCTGGCCAGTGAGTTT